TTTTTTTTTTTTAAGAGGACAAGAGCGGCGAGGTCTATCGCGATAGCTTAATTTCTCTATCGAGTAAAAGTTATATCGCGATACATATCGTTATCGTTCTATCGCCCAGCTCTAGTGGACACACAAGCAGAAGTTGCTTTACCAGCAGAAGGAGACAATATATTTAAAGTCAAGAATCACTAGTAAAGGCACGAAGTACATCCCAGCATCCTTCTGTGCCAGAAAGGATAAAGCTGGGCTGCTAATATGTAATTACATGTTTATACGGCACCACATGACAACAACAGTGGTGTCTTTATATTGTGAGGTAGAGCCTACAGTAATACAAAGATTGTGACTGTGATTATTGTCATGCTGGCTTGAAATCAGGTGTCTCCATCTGCTGGTACTGCATTGAACTGCAGCACAGACAGCTTTCTCTGTAAGCCCCGCCCACGTTGGGTTCAGATCTGGAAACATCGGCCTGGTTAAAAACCTGAACTGTTTGTTCTCTAAGCTGCTGTAGTTATTAGATTGGTTTAATAGTGCAGATAACTGCTCTGATAAGCTTCCTCCAGTCATGGCGCCTCAGAAGACAGCTGATGTTTGAAATGTTCATCTTGACAGAATTTATAGAGACACTGATTCGGATCTTCCATCAGACCAAAGTGACTTTCAAGTGGCAAAGTATTCAATCTTTGAAAAGGTAAAAGAACATTTTTGTAGCTTACCACTAATGACATTCCCACAGCAATAATTACTGTAATGACTCTTACTGGTATTAAACATATGCGCTGTAGGTAAACAGCAACAGTTGGTGTGTGCTGGAGCTGCAGAGCTTCAAAGGGGAGGAGGGGCGGCAGTACCGTGTGGTCAGATACTGGAAGGATGATATACTCTGTGAGGTAAGAAGTGTTTTTACATGTGTATACATGTGTGAGACTGACTCGGTTCCACTCTGGTTCATGTTTTCTGTGTCCTGATGTGAAACTCTATAAATGTACATTTGTCTTTTGAAATGAGAGCTGAGCTGGATCCCTGCAGAGAGCGTAGTGTTGCTTCTTTAGCTGCTCGTCTTCAGGTCCAACAAATATTAGTGCGATGAAATCTCCTGACAGAAAAACGGTCGGTCACAAATGTAACGTCAGTGTCACGCAGTGCTGGTGAAATACTTTGTGTCATGTGCACACTCTGTCAGTGCGCCCCAGGTGAGCTCGAAATCATCAGCAGTGCTTAAACGAGTCCTGTGCCAAACCTAGAAGGGTTACGACCAACTCCTGGTGACTTCCTGTTTCTCCGTACAACAGCAGCCCATCTGTCACTGCTCATACCTGAAGGATTGTGTGCATAGACAGTATAAAAGATGTTTCAAACACCAGATATTTACAAAATAGACTTTTTATTCAGTGTGACCTGAAACAGCTGACAGACTGATAAGCTCAGCAGGAGGGTCAGGACGACTATCGTAGTCTGGGTCCTTCAGATGGACAGCAGCTTTGAGACGTCCTCCGAGCTGCACTAACGGCAGTGTTGCTGTTCTCTGTGCAGCCGGGTCTGAGACAAGTAAGCAGGGACTGTCTGCAAAACAGGAAGACGTGTTCCACAGTGCACTGTCAGCACAGTCACATGTCACTGCTTGCATAGACCTTTGATTTTGTGTCTTTTTTTGCACACATACTTGTGTTTCACAGAAGAAGGCCGTGAGGGACAAGCTGGTGTTTTTGTCCACCTCAGAGGAAGCTCTGGAGGTGTTCCAGGCCCTGAGAGACAGCCTGGAGGCTTCAGGTCTCCGGAGGCAGAGCAGGTTTCCTCCTTCTGCCCGTGAGATGGGCTCTGCGCCCCTGCAGCAGGTCTGACACACTCACTGATGAACATTTCATCACATCTTTGCTCTCAGCTTTTAGACTCACCTTTATTTACTTCACTCGTTTTTTATTTGAAGAATTAAAGTTTAAAGAAATTCTCTTCAATACAAAATGTTCCCCACGTTCTTTCTGAGGTTTAATAATGAGGAATATTGTTGAATATCAACACTGGTTATAATTTTTGACATATTAAGAGGACACAATATTACAAAGTACACTCCCACCAACCACTGTGGCCTGAAGCATCAACCTTTACTACAGCTGTCTCTCTGTTAAACTGTATTGCAGCAGTTTACAGTACAAAGCTGTGGGTGGATCGGGTCTCGCACCATGAATAATAACAGTTCAGTACAGATTTATTAAGAATGTCACCGTCACATCAGATGCTCTGCTTTATGTGTTCGTGTCACATTTTATATTTGTGCTCAGATTAAAGTTTCCTAAAAGTAACATAGAAGGAAAACACGAGCGTTTTGGACGAGTGTCCAAATCTGCTTTAAACTAAAAGGACTGAATTCATGTTTCTGGACGAGAGAACGTGGGAAATCCTGTTTCTTAGTAGCACGTTTGACATCTGAGACCTCCGTCTGTGCTGCTCAGCAGTTGGATGATACATGCTCTGTTTGATTGACAGCTGCTCCTGGAAGAGAAGCTCAACACAGGAAGCTTATCACAGGAAGTGGGTGTGTTTGTGGAGCTGCTGTGGACCGAGGCGCTGGGCTGCCTCGACAACATCCTCAGAGTTTCAGTGGACAAGCTCAGCCTGAATGATGTAAGAGTTTCTCTGTTTGTAAAACGTGGAGCTGCTGACGGTGACCACTGAGAGAAACTGCAGCTTTCCCATCAGCCTGACCTGATAGGACCGTGTGTGTGTGTGTGTGTGTGTGTGTGTGCAGGTGAGCAGGGCAGAGGGCTTGTTGCTTCAGGCTCAGAAGAAGCTGACAGAGGGAAACCACACTGAGCTGATGAGTCTCCTGGAGGACGTCTACACTCTGCTGCCACACAGACAACCCTCCATATTTCCCAGCACCAAGCTCATCTCGCAGAAACTGGACCTCTGTCAGGTACCACGCACACGGCTCTGAGACACGCCCACTGACGTCACACGTACTGAGAAAAATATCCTGCAGAATGATTTCTGTCAGAGATGCAGTGTGACTGAGCCAGGACAGAAAAGCCAACAAAACTATCACAATACAACTTGCAAAAACACCGAGAGCAGCGACTGGTTCCATAAAATCTTAAAGGTCAATGTGAGGCACGTGATGTAAAGTACACATAAGGCCTCTCCCAGCTGCTGGGAGTGTTTCTGAAGGAGGAACGTTGCACTATGAACTACGACCCTTTAACTCCACCAGGAGATGGAGCTTTTTCACAAAAACGTTTCACAATTTTTTGATCGCTTTTAAATATAAAAATATAAAAATTTGGTTTAGAAAATGTCAAACAGGTGGATAAACGATAGATTCAACCTGACCGTCCTGTGCACTGCGACATACACGACGACCAAAACAATCCCAGCATGCATTTCTTCATTCATCCAGAGATGTTTGGGCTTCAGCTATTCTGGTTCACTGTTCCTCTTAAGAACTTTTCAGCTTTTGCTACTAAAACATATTAACGCAGTAAAATGCTAACCGAGCTAGCGCCGCAGCACTGGTGTAAGCTGAGTGCTTCCTGGCTCTGTCCTGTGTCTCAGATATCATCACACATTTATAGAAAACATTAAAGAAAAAAATACACGACAACTTCAAAGGTTAAAAGTCTGTTTGAAGGGCCAGAGGAGGATGATGATTGGACAACATCACAAATCCCCCACTCCACTGCACAAGTCCATGATATCAGCTCAGCCTCTGTCTTCTCTTTGTATCTTTAGACTAACACAAAACAACGATTTGATTTCCTCCAGTTAATCCGAGATGTTCTGAATGCAAGTGAGATGACTCTGAGGAGCCCCGCCCCTTCCACTGTGGGGAAGTATCGCGCTCTGAGGTGCAGCGTTGAGACGGTTCCCCCCAGTAGCTCCGAGTTTCAGGCTGTGACCGATCTCCTGCAGGACAGGTAGTTTCACGTCTACTTTCCAAACGAGGATTAAGTAACAGCGACACATTCAAATTCATGGTGACATATTGTGATAAGGACCCAACACACAGGATTTCATGTTGTTTTGACGTTTTGTGGTCACTCAGGAATAGCTGCTGCGTTCCACACACCCTCCTCCACCTCCGCCGTCACTATATACACCAATCAATCAAAGCTTTATTCGCCACATGCAGGTTGCCCTGCAGTGAAAAGGGACCCCCCCCCCCCCCGACCTTACACACACAACACAGACATCACATGGGGAGACAAGTCAGAGATCGGTAGCGTTACAGAAAAACACTGAAATGTACACTACAATGGGAAAGTACAAGAGGAAAAACAGAGAGCTCTACTCATGCTGGGCTTCCATGGCAGGACAGCACGAGAACAGGAAACAGAGAAACTCCTCTGCACAGAGAGCACATAAACGTCCACAGCACAACATTGGGTGGGGGGTGAGGAGTAATCCGAAGCGAACACAGCAGCCGCCCTGCCCAGCGCTACCATTCCAGCGCGGGCTCAGACCCGCCGTGTTCCCTCGCAGGAAACAAGCATCCAAGGCGTTTGGAAAGTGAGGGGGATGAGTGTGTGCATATCAGTGTGTATGTGTGTGTGTGCCCAGAGTTCAGCTGAGACAGTGTCCTCCGCCCTGCCAGGCTCAGTAAACAGTCTTCCAGCCAACCCAGGTGGCCTTGCATGGAACGGGAAGGAACAGACTCAACACAGTCGTTATCAGGGTGTTGTTCAGCTCCGGCCTTGAGCCCACAGCTGGCGCTGAAGGGGTAGCCGGGTTATGATGGTGAATTTTCTTTTACAAACAACTCATGACAATTTCAAGCTGTTTTTAACACTCCGACACCGACACTGGTCTCAATCTCCCGTTGGATAGCTGCGAGTTTCTCCGTGATGTTATTTACCTTCAGTTCTGTGGTCTTTTCAGTCTTTTGCTCACAGAGCAGATTCTGAGACCTCACGACCGCAGCCAACTGATCCACGATGTCATCCAGCTTCTGCCCAGAGGTGTTGTTCCGAGTGTTCTTCCCTGATGTACTCCAATATACGCTCAGAGGTGTTATTCTGAGCCTTCACTGCAGTCGTTAGCGCCTCCAAGCTCGTAACCTGCTGCATTCAATGAGCCCTTTCTGAGAAGTCGCACCTGTCGTTCCAATCCCAGCGAGCAGCCTTGTGGGGGTTTGAACAGCTGGTTCCGCTCTCTTAATTCTCCGATAAGCCAGGGCCAAGCCAGCTCCGATCAGCAAGAACCCTGTTATCATGGTTCCGAATAGGTCAATATCTTCAGCGTCCTCGATCGACAGTCCCGTCAGGCACATGATCCTCCATTTCTGCCACCCGTCCATCGTGTATCCGGCAGGGAAAGTCCCTCCAGGGCACTCGGGCTCTCCTGAGCCCAGACTTCTCGTTGAGAAAACGGTGTCAATAGCATTCAGAGACCAGTTGATCAAATCCATAATTCTCTTTAGGTTTTAGACACAGACTGTGAGACACTGTTCCAGGGAAGTGAAAAAAGCACGAGACAAGGACATAAGAAGCAAAGCAGGGAAGATAAGGAGAGGAGAAAAGTGCGACCGCCTTCGCTGAGAGCCAAACAACAGAGTTTATATACGCAGAGAAGAAGAAGATGATTACGTTGAGCACTCACACCTGCCCTCTGTGCCACACCTCTGTACCGCCCCTCCACTGCAGCAGGCCACAGACCACACCCCTGCCACTTTAATGTAGATGTTGTCCTAACACAGGGGTGTCAAACTGGGGGCCAAAGACTCCAATCCAGCATTTTGGATGGCTTTGGAAAATGTGAAGAGACAGCGTTTCCTCCTGAGGAAGATCTCCCTCGTGGCCATTCGTACTACACATTATAGGTTTCTGTCATTTTACACATTTACTTCTGAGAGCAGCTCTTTCATCACAGCAGCATTTCCTTATCACGTACAAATGGTAAATGGCCTGTATTTGTATAGCGCTTTACACATCCAGTCACACACATTCACACACACATTCACACACACGTTCACATGCTTTTAGTTGCTCCGCCCCTTCCCTTTGGAGCTCCCCCGACCTCAGAAACATCACTTTATTCCCTCTTTTTAAGTCCAACCTCAAAACCCACCTGTTGAATTGCCTACTCCATATAACTCATCCACGAACGTAAACTTTCTGTCTGCTGCTCTTATTATTGTGTATGTTTCATGTTTTTATGCCTGTTTTATTTGCTGTACAGCATCCTTGGGTGTTTTGAAAGGCGCTTTTAAATCAAATGTATTATTATCCCTGCTGTCAGAAGCCGGTCGTTGCAGAGCTAAACGAGCCAACGTGTTCACAATGATCTGTCTTCAGTTTTCTGGCGCATGTCTTCTGTATGCAACGGCACAAAGATCTCTTTCACAGATGTTCCCTCGCTTTAATCTGTGTTTCGCAGCAGGGTGCAGATCCAGCAGATTGTGCGTGTCGGCCGAGGGGTGGAGCTTCAGACCTTTAAGAGCGAGCTGGGGAATGTTAAGCCACTCCTCCATTCCTCCAGTCCCAACAACTTTGTGGGAATCCTGTCTCGGTGAGAACAACTGATCCTGTCGTTTGTCTCATACCTGATTCACTGTAAGAAAACGGACTTCAAGCTGAACCCACATCGACAAAACTCTTCTGTAAAGCAGTCCATTCATAGAGTTAGCTCGTCGCATCGAGCTGTGGTTGTCTGAATGTCATCAGGGTGTTGTAGTCACCCGCCGTGGGCAGGCAGGCGGGTGGCGTGGACAACAAGTCAAGAACGCGGCGCTGTGGGGAATTGAAACACTTTAGCTGCAGCTACCAAATATCTCGATGAGTCTGGATCTCAGTGACGTTGACCTCGAGGTCAAAGTTGTCTGGAAACTTCATGATAACTTTAATTGATACCACAGCTGCATGTAGTAGTGACCTTGACCTGAAGGTCAGAGGTCAACTGAGAGTTAATGAGGAACATTTATGCCATAGATAAGATAAGATAGAACTTTATTAATCCCTGGGGTGGGTTCCTCTGGGAAATTCGGTTTCCAAAAGCACAGCACCGACAGAAGTTACAGTTACAGAATGTTATATATATATATACACACACACACACACACACACAGATGCGTCTTTGGGGAGGGGGCGACTTGTGGCCGTCACTATTTAATTTTATTCAACTTTTGGGGATAAAACACAACCGTGTGGACGTCTTAGTCCGTTTGCATGAACACGTTTGGTTTAATGTGTCGACCAATCAGATCAAAGACTGAAGGAAAAAACAAAGGTTTTCTGTATTTATTGTATTTCAATAAATACTCTGTGCTTGGTATTTACATGTAATCTAACTGATAAGCTACCAGGACATCTCTGCCTGTGTTCTGCTGCGAGTTCAGATCTGTGATGCTGTGTGGGAATAATGAATGGAAACTTAATGGGACAGAATCCCGTGTGCTTGGATTCTGAGAAGAGCAACAACAGCTTGCTGTCATGGTGTGTGTGCAGCAGGACTCAAGGTGCCAAAACTCAACTTTATTTGCTGGACAGGAAACGAAGAGAAAACTAACTAGGCTGGGGAAGATAACACGGCTTAACAGGCAGACAGAACTCACATGAGGATACAACACGACACAGAGCAACAAAAACACAGGGCTCGAATAAACACCGGAGCAATCGGGGAATGGGAGAGGGAAACACAGCTGGGACGAATCAGACCTAACGAGACAACAGAAACAAAACCAACACGCTGCACACAGGAAAGGGACTATCAAAATAAAACAGGAAACACAAAAACAAAAGTTAAGGACTAAAATTACAGAACAAAGAACTACTAGAGCTCGAAATACAGAACCATAAACCAAAAGACTGGTAATGATAAACCACGATGAAAGCTCAATAATTATACCAAAATCAAAACACACGACCCAGGACTGTGACACTTTGGGTCACACCAAAGGTTTGTTGTCTGTTGTGAGACGTCTCGCTTTTTAACCAGTTAGAGGAAACTGTGATTCGTCTTTAACCCTTTAGAGCCGGTTGGAGCGGGCACGCCCTGTTTTGTGTAACTATTTTTAAATCCCGGTAGCACTGCAACCACGTAAGCTAGCGCAATAATATTTTTTGCATATGAAACCGGAGGAGTTGTACTTACATCTGATGCCATCAGCTTGTCCTCGGTCACAGTTTCCTTCCACATATAGCTTTGCAAAAACTGCATAAAAAGCACTTGCAGCAACAAAAACATAATATTCCAGAAACTCGCTTTGCCGATCCGATCAGCTGTTTGTAACACTTCCTACGTCCATCAGCGCAAACTATCACATGACCGCATGACCTGCCCGAAACCGGAAGTGACACCATTTTTCGCGGAAATGTAGTTTTTTTACCATCAGGGCCTTAAGAGCCTATACTGGTGTTTTTAAAAGTTATCTTTGACTTTATGACTTTCTGTGTCGTTTCTGGGATGCTGAGGACTCATATTGCACTGCTGGAAATAGTTTATTTTGATGCAGATGTTGTTGTTTTTTTGCTAATTTGCACTATAATATTTATTTTCGTTTTTCCTGCAGTGTATAAAAATTGGGATATTTCAAAAATAAAACTATGAAGACACTCAAAATAAATTTCCTGTGGTGGGAAACTAGTTTGTGCAACTTTCTTTTATTTACAGTTTTGAGGGAGAAGCCTCTTAAATTTCTCTAACTAGAAATATATGTTAAAAAAAAACAAAAACGATTTTCAATTCTTTTGTAGTTTATTGCACTTTTTTGCAATTTATGTAATTACTATGCACTTAATGCAGACATATTATTAAAATTTAGGCTGTAATGGTTGTATTGACAATGTTCCCAAAAATGGCTCCACAGCATGTAAAAATATAATATAAGCTCTGGCGGACTTGGTTGTATGGCAGGTCTTAAAGGGTTAAGGACACTGACTGGCCAGGTGGATTTCAGCCAGACACCGTGTCTCTGGATGTTTAGTGCTTTATTTCTACAGCCCCAAATCACAACAACAGAAAATGTGGTTTCACATTTATCATGTATACAGATGTGCACCATGTGTTTATCACATCACTTTGAAACATGTCGTCTTTTCACTGTCCTCTCTCTTATTCTTTCACTTTAAATAAACATGTCCACAAATATTTTTTATCACAATGAATTTGTAATGAAGTTCAGACTTTCAGCTTTCATTCAGAGGGTGGAACAAAAAGATGTGAGGAACACAATCTGATCATTTCAGGGGCTCAGACGTCATTGGACAAACGAAACAAGTGAAAGTAATTGTTGAAAAGCCTTTTCTGGCACTGACAGCCTGAAGTGTTGGATTCATGGACATCACCGGATGCGGAGCCTCCTCCTTTGTCTTTGCCTTTACTGCAGAAGCTTTCAATCGCTGTTTGTTTGTGAGCCAAAGTCTTCAGCCAATGAAACGCTCAGCTGGGTTAAGATCAGCTGACTGACTTGGCCTTGGCTCCGGCTGTACGTCTTGTGTCCATCTGTATTAGGAAACGCCGTCCAATCATTTAGCTTGATTTGAGCAGACCTCCTTTATTAACATAACGATGTCTTTACTTTCATATGAAATGTGTCTTTAATGTCTGTAGTGAAACAGCAGCTGTGTTTGTGTCCTCCTCTTCAGTGGCCTGCTGCTGCCCCGCGTGGGAGTCGAGCACCACGGCATAGAAAGAACCGACGTCGGCAAACTGGGCGGTGGGATCTACTTTAGTGATTCCCTGAGGTTAGTCGAAAATCCCAATTTGACCAGTTTCTTTGTGTGTCTGACACATACACTGCTGTGCAAAAGTCTTGAGCCGCCCCTCATTCATTGACAGTTTGCCACTGAGTGAAAAGTGTGCAAACGTTGGTGGGAATACGACACATAAGGCAAGTATGAAGAACTAGTTCAAGGACGAGAGACGTGTTCCCGTTTTGTGTTACAATCTGGACACAAATCTGATGATTCCATTGATTTTGATTCCCAACACCACTGGCTGAACTCCGTGTTGCACCTCTCCCCCGACTACGTGCGCATCGGCAACGCTTTGAACCAAACGTTCCAATAAGATCGTGAGACTTGTTGCCACTTGTTTTAACGTGATCTTGTGTAATCTGCACGCCTCAGCATCTTCTCCTTGGTTCCCTACGAAGGACTGTGAGGTCCATACGCTGTGGAGTGTTTTCAGTCCTCTGGTTGTAGAGTTTCCTCTGAATGTAAAGCAAACACTGACCTGCAGTAATAAAAGCTTTCACTTGTTATTATTGGAGTTTTGATATCTCTGAACCAAGATGGCAGCAACAGTCACGTTTTCCATCCACAGCACCAGTCTGAAATACTCCAAGCCCGGCGTGACGGATGGCTCCCGGTTGTTGTTGGTGTGTGACGTTGCGTTGGGACGTTGCAGGCAGGTCTACAGGACGGACGTCCTGCTGAAGCAGGCTCCCGACGGATACGACAGCGTGCGCGGAGTCCGCCGCGCTCCAAACACTCCCTCTGAGTTTGAGGTACAGTAGGACTGTGTGAGCGTTTACATGCACAGATAAACAGACAGAAGAAAACACTTCCTGCCCATAAGCTGAATTATTGTTCTATATTTGACTGTTGTCACACTAGGTTCACTCCACTAACGCACACAAACATACATCCACTCTTGTGTCCTCCAGGATGATGAGTATGTGGTATACAGTCCTGATCAGGTGAAACTCAAGTATGTGGTTCAGTTCAGCATCCAAGGAGACCAGCTAAAGGCCTTCACTCCTGCCGTGGACATGTCACCTGAGCTCTGTCTTCCTTGTTCTGCTGAAGGTGAGCACTGGACAGCTGCGCCTTTGATCGGCTCTTATTTATGGCGATGAACGTGAGAGTACAGTGCGCTCAGCTTAGTGGTTGAAGTTGAGCTTTCATACGTTTTTACCCCTCAGCAGTAAAAGGCTCATGTGGTAGCATCGTCACCACGTTTAGAATTCCAGTAAGCTGAGAATGACATTTGAACCTCAAGTGCTAAAAATCATCAGTGACCCTTGACCTCAAGATGAAGTTCATAGGTCTGAAAACTCCAAAAGGAAGCCACCCAGGATTATGACACTTACTCACATTAAGCCCAGACTGATCCCAGTGGGGTTAACCAGTAACACCACCAGATATAACATGTCACTGCTGCACAGCTGTCTTTAAAGGTAAACGGTGACGTCATTCATTAGATGCAGCTTATAATTTACAGATGGACTCTTTTACTCAAAGCACTTTTTAGTTTATCGTAGAAAGACACAAAACCTTTGCATGTAGAGTTGGTGAAACGACACAACAACAGTTTTTCGTCAAGCTCTTCAAAGTGTTTGTTTGCACGTGCAGGATGTTGGTTGTGGCCCTGAGCTACAGGTTTGTTGCCATGCAGGCCGAGTCTAAAGAAGTGTCGAGATCCTGCTCCGGTGGCTTCGTCTATGTGAGAGGACTGTGTTTATTGGTCAGGATGGGACTGACAGTGTCTGAACAGCTGTGAGATTAGTGGAAATCCTTTGTCAGCACGGTCTGCTATGTGCGAATTATAATTATGAAGCTGAAAGATAGAAATGAAGCTAACCACGTCATTCTGCACTGTTTCGTCTCTTGTTTCTGTGTGTAGAGCTCAGTTTAGGCGAAGATATGTTTGAAAGCAGTAAAAACCCCTTGGAAGAGGTGACCGCCGGACTGTTGGACAGCGCTGGTCAGCAGCTCCCTCTGCAGGCCGTTCATGTGAAGTGTAAACTGATGGATCTGCTTTCACAGGTAACATCGAGTCGTTTCAGTGTTTTTCATTGTTAGCTTGCTGACATACGATTTGACATTTGATGTGATCGTCTGTGTCCTTGTTAGGTCATCATCTTCCAGAAATACACAAATCTGAGCTCAGTGCCCATTGAGGCAAAGTATGTTTTCCCTCTAGATGATTCAGCTGCAGTGTGTGGGTTTGAAGCTTTCATCAACGGGAAGCATGTCGTGGGACAGGTAACGGAGCGTTATTCAAATACTAGTTCACCGTCTGAAAGTTTTCATTTCCTGTTTCTGTGAATTACAATATAAACACCTGTCAAGCTCACTCTGTCTGTGAAAATGTGACCAAAGCATAACAGGATCTTTTATTATTCCTGTTGTTGTTGTCAAAGCCCAGCAGTCTGTTGATAAAGCCCAGTACTCTGACGCTGGAGGGAGTAGAAAAGCATTCTTTAGTGTTTTCCACAAAGTTCTGCCAACATCGAGCCTTGAAGCAGCCGGGTTTGTAAAAGACTTCAGGCTGTGACTACATCACCCTTCAGCTCACTCGCTCTTTTGCTAGTTTGATCTATCAAAGGCAACATTTAGGTTTATTTTGGACTTTGAAGTTCTCATGAGCTCATTGGCTAATGATTTGTGAGTCACAATTTGTTGACCAATAAGCACGGGGGTTGTCTCATTTCACAGTCACAGCCCTGTGCTCGTGACATTTGGATTCAAAAGATGAACGATGAATAGTAAAGCTGCTCAGTTTGAGGGTCTACGTCTATCGTGTATATAAAGCCTGTGCTGCTCAACACAACGTGAGCAAACCAATGGATGTTTGTTTCTCAGGTGAAGGAGAAAGAAAAAGCTCGCAAGGAGTACAAGCAGGCTATTGAGAAAGGACATGGAGCTTATCTCATGGACCAGGATGCACCTGTACGTCTAAGCACACACACACACACACACACACACACACACACACACACACACACACACATCATGCGATGGTTGTACAGTTGTAAGGACCTACTGTGGATTCCATAGCTTTTTTCCAATGCTTAATAAACCTTAACACTAAGCACACACACACACACACACACACACACACACACACACACACACACACATCATGCGGGTCCAGAGCTGTTTAGCGTCTCCTGGTGTTATGTAGGCCCTTTTAGCCGCCACTGGTTGTGACATGGTCTGTATCCTCACTGCAGGATGTGTTCACCATCAGTGTGGGTAACCTGCCCCCTGGTGCAACTGTCCTCATCAAAGTGACCTTTGTCTCCGAGCTGATCGTCAGGGACGGCACAATTCTCTTCTCCCTGCCCGGCAGCGTGGCTCCGTGGCAGGAGAGTGCAGCCCTCAACCAGACCACACAGGTAACAGAGATCCTGTCCGGCTCATGATTGAATCAGAGTTTGCTTTGATGACAAATATGACTTTAAACGTCACTCCACAGGTCAGTGTGGAGAAGGTGTGTGTAACTGATGAAGCTGCGAGTGTGAGGTGAGCGAAATGAAGCATTTCTGTTAACCAGTCTGAACCTCGTCTGCTCAAATCCACCTCCAAACTGTTAAGAACTGAACAACAGCTTTGCAGTATTTACAGCTTCATTATTTCGTGTATCGTCATGTTTTTGGTTTGGGGTTGTTCAATCACTGTTCCTTTGCTCTCAGAGAGTTCACCTTGGACCTGTCAGCTGAAATGCCCTATGAGATCTCCAGCCTGCAATGTATCACTCACCAAATCAAGATGAAGGTCATTTGGCTTTTTTTTTTTACATTTAAGCAGTGAAACTGAATATTTTATTTACAAAAAATGTGTCCAAGTGGAAGACGGTAGATAATGAAAAGAAGAGGCCCCGGACAGATCCCTGCACGCCTGCAACCAGAGGAAAGGGCTGAGAAGTGAAGGATTTAAGGCGAATAAACTGGGTGATTTAAACCTGGCTAGTGGGATATGGGAGAGACCGACGGAGGCGAGCCTACTGAGGAGAATTGAGTGAGAAATGGTATCAAAAGCAGCAGTCAGATCGAGAAGAATAAGAATGGAGAGTAAACCAGAGTCAGCTGCCGCGAGAAGATCGTTGGTTACTTTTATCAGCGCAGTTTCAGTGCTGTGGGACGGCGAAAACCAGACTGCAACTGTTCATGCAGATTATTATTAGTTACGTACGATCCAAATCTTTTGGGATTTAAGTCCCTCTGATCGAGCATGTGAACAAATGACAACCTGGCTGCATTTGGAATTGAATCAAGTCGTTAAAATGAATTCTGCTACTAGTAATAACAATAATAATTACAATCATTTTTATACTTGATGCCGTTTGTTCTTTATTTACAGCTTTCCAAAACACCGTCATTCATTCTCTTTAAAGATTTCGATTGTTAATATTTGTTTAATGTAACTCTATTTTAGT